TAGATGTTCAATACCCAACTTGGAGGTAATTTGAAAATCACAAGAAAATATAGATAAATATAACCGATATCTTTTTTGATCTATCTTATCTCGTCTTAGATGAGGTCTATCTTTTTCTTAACATAATCTTGCAAATATTTCTATCCTAATCTTGCAAGATTCTTGGGAAATCCGTTCTCGAGCCTATAAATTGGGGCCTTCACCCTTCATTTTTCACACACCAAAAACAAGAAAAAACTCTCCTCCTGCTTAGTGCAAAACAAAATCCTCCTCTGCTTTTTTTGTGAAATTGTCTTTGTGACTAATAATGACCTTCAAATTGAAGATGCCTTTGTGGTGTGGATCGAGTTGCTAAGCCGAATCAATAAGGGGAAAATCATTCTTCATTTTTCAGTTTTTGGTTTTAACTTTCTTGAAATTAATCTTTGCAAATCCTTCATTAATTGTTTCTTTTGTTGGATTTATAGGTGGGTTTGCTTCACATTTGTTTACGATTTTGCACACACGTAATATAAAATTTAACAACAGTAACTCGTATAGAAAGGGAATGATATTCTATAATTCCTAAACCTCTTAGATAAATGTAGCAACAAAGGAATGGCAGAATCGGTTAGTCCTCTTGTTATTATAACTTTTTATAACAACTGTTCATAGAACAGTACATGGTAACTTCCTCATATTTTAGATTCCTAAACAATTCGTTCCTAGATCTCTGTACATTGAATTTAACGATGCATTTATTGCCAAAGCTCCCATTCATAGCTCGTAATTAAGCCTAAAAACCATTGATCAATAATTCATCACAATGGAGACACAGATCAAGTAAACCTAGAGAATATTCACTCGTAAGTAACTTTTTATTTCCAAAAAATTTTGGAAATGTTACTTTTTCAGTTTTTTATCATTTAAACACAAGAAAGGTTACTTTTTTTGACAACTTATTGTTATCATTCAAGAAATACTATGCATCCTAAACAAACAAACTATAAAGTAAATTTTTTAAGCCGAGGCAAACAACTTCCTACCAATAAACGATCACACACAAATATCCTTAATTAATTTGAGCAATTTATAATATTTATAGAAATTAAGTCAAAAAATGAAAATAAAAAGGCTTGAATTTCAAACCTGTATATATCAAAACTGAGCTCTCTATAGAAAAGCGCCGGGAACTCTTCTCGGAGGGTCCGAATAGCATAACCCGTATTCACATAATAATTCCGCTTCTTTTCTTCCTCATCTACAACCTTTTTTGCAGTAAATGATGCCGCTGTACCAGTAGGCTTCGCTGGAGCCGAAAACTGGCCGTACAACCACCCAACATCCTCGTAATAATTAGTCCCCAATTTCAAAACCTCGGTTGCATCATCTTCCAAGTCTCGAACACTTGATGAAACTCTAACACTAACATTTCTGTTTCTTGGAGCGATTCTGGCCGGAATTTCATGCCGTTGGGTGGAAAATGATGAAATTCCCGACGAGGGGATTAAGAGGGCCATCTGCTGCCGATCAAAGTGGATTAAATTTGAGCGATGATTATTGAAATTGGCATTTTTCTTTTAGCTGAATTATGAATTTCCTGCGATGCGAATATTCGATATATAAAATCATCGTCGGAAAAAGATGATGGAGAATCTGTCCAGTTGAAGAAAAGGTTTTGGATAATTCTTAATTATCCGTAAAATAATGAATTTTGTAAGCTAAAATTATTTGATTGGTGGAGGAAACAGATATGCCTCACTTGTGGAAAAATTGCAGCAATAGTCCACAACCTATTAACTTTGTGACAAACTTGTCCATATTCCTTTTCTTTTTGAAAAACGTAAAGATAATTGAAGCATTTTGATAAATTGATGTTGAGATAGAATGTACATGTCAAAATTGACAGTTGGGGTGAAGATATCA